GTGAGAGCATTTAGGCACAAAAATGCACTAGAAGAAGGTTTCTCAAACTTGAATCTGCTATGCATAGGATTCCCTCACCCCACCCCTGTCCCCTACCAAAATGCAGATTCTGAATCAGCAGGTCTGAGGTGGCCAGCATTCTGAATGTCTGATGAGCTCCAGGTGAGACCCATGCTCTGCCTTGCGGGCCACATTCAGAATAAAGAGGCCCTGGGAGATATAATGAGGTCATGTAAGTGCCTGTATTGCAGAGTCACCCCAAACATGCATCATACATGAGGTCCCCACAGAGTGTCAAATGGTATTTCAAGTATCATGGAAAGCCCTGCCCACAGTGACTTTCTTTTCCACTGTGGCAAATAACTCCCATTAAAATTCCCAACAAACAAGGTGCAATTTCTCTTTATTAGATAGCTTTATTTCTAGAAAATGCAGTGTTTTAAACTATGCATAAAAGACTGTTTTAAACTATGCATAAGTTCTAGGCTCAGATCATTCATTATAAAAAGGTTTTAAACCAGGGAATGCCTTTCATTCCCAAAGGGACACTGGGCAATATCAAAGGCATTTGGGTTTGTCACAGTTGGGGTAAAGAGGTGCTCCTGGAACCTGGTGGGTAAAGCCAGGGATGCTGCTGACCTACGATGCTCAGGGGTCTCCTAGAGCATAAAGGCTCTGGTTCAAGTAGGGGACACCTGCCCTGTCGCGACCCCTCGCCGGCAAGGGAAAACACGACACAGGATTCTTCTTTCAGCAGTTTATTCAGGCCTTGTTTCATGTATCATCTTCTAGCGACCCCCCGCCGAGCGCCCAAGCATAGGCTAATAAAGCTTACTCAAGTCCAATCCAAAGCTGCCACGCGGGGTTTTCTCATAGGGTATTGAGGGACAGCGTGCCAACTCTCCCAAATAAGGAGTTGTTTACCAAGATCCACAACGGAGACCGGCGCCATCTTCTAATGACGGCAGCGGTCTACAAACACGGCTCACCACACTGCCCTACAGCAAGAGTCCAACAAAGTGCACAAGGAAGGGCCACACCACCGGTACAAGGTGTCTCCACGTTGCAAAATGCCCCACCTTCCCAGCCCCTGATCATTGAGTACCAGAGGTGCCCCTCACTGTGGCCATCCCAGAAGGCACCCAAGGACAGAAGTGCAGCTGCAGCAGCCGTGGGAGGGAAAAGTGCACAGGACAGGGAGGACCGAGCCAGGGCAAGGGAAGAGGAAGAGCCAACCCAGGACTCTTCAGAGGTCGACAAAGGCCAGCACAACCCACTAAAGTATATGTGGTTCCGCCCATCTGCTGGGCCGCTGAAATTACTATGAAAATAATTGCATCTCTCCGCCTGGCTCTCCCCCACAGGCGAACACAGCCAGTGACTTTCGATATAGGACTAACATTGTTATTTATTTCTGTCTTATTTTTAACATATTAAGGGGAAGACCACATTCAGCAACAAAGCCTGGTCTAACTACCACTCGAGAGGCCGCGATGCTATTTTTCTTCTTCTTTTTTTTTAACCATTCATTCCAAACAGAGAGAAAGAAGAACACTAGTTCTCTTATTCTCCCTTTCTTTGTGTTCTAGTTTTAATTTTCTGCTAAGGTCTCATCTTAAGACCTAGAGAAAAACAAGGTTTGTTTCTTGTCTTTTAAGGTAAGCAATCATAGGGGGGGAAAATGAAAAACAAAACACCAGTATATTGCCCCAAAGTGGCCTCAGATTCAGGCCTCCTCTTTGCCATCCTTCTTGTGGTACAGGGCACCGAGCTTGCCAAACGTCCCCCACTGCCATCAGTCCTGGGGGCATAGGAGGGGCTTCTCACATAGAAATAGCCTCCCAGCCAGGCAGAAACAGTGACCTCGGTATCTGAAACTCAAAAGTAGCTGCATTCAGATACCCCTGGGGAAATGCTTCTCAATTACTAATAATGCTGAGGTCCCACCCTTTAAGACATTACTAAACCTTCATGGGAAATACCCGAAGCAATGGTTAAACAGACCAGAAGGACAACAGGCCCGATGGCTTCTCTGTTTCCAAGCTGACAAGTGTCGCCACTGTGACCACCTGCATTGGCATGGTGACGCTGATGGGGCAAAGGCCTGGCTTAGCCTGGAACCCACGAGTGGACACTCAGGATGTGTCATCGCTGCAACCGGATCCTCTTAGGATCCAAAAGGCCAAAGAAGCTGAGCAGAGAGTCCCAAAAGTCAGTAGTGAAGCAGAAACAAGCTTGCAGCACCAGAACAAGAACCTGGTCCTCAAGTTCACCTGTGAGTGTCGCATAGAGAAGAAAAGAGGTATCAGTCAACCTGGCGAGCGTGAGGCTCAGCCAAGGTCTGTACCCGTGCAGGACTTCTCAGAGTCTAAATGTGCTGCTGTGTGTTATATGACTCCAAGAAGGGGGCCGTAGTGTCGTTTTTCTCCTCTTGCTCCTTCTCAGAGCAAACTCTGCCCTAAGAGAAGCCTAGCCATAAAAATCTGGGTGTTGCTCAAATCTGGAGCAGCGTCAAGGAGGTGATCAGTAAACAGGCCCAATAAAGCTTCTGCCTCTTTAATATCCCAGACAGGAAGCAGAAAACAAGGACCATAAACACACCTCATGTAACGTCCTTGGGCAGGGACTTCAGCCTGCCTCACAGCGGAACTCTGGGGTAGCGTCTGGCCACTCTCTCTCTTCGACCCACCTCTTGCCTTCCAATCACATGACCACCCTCCTTGGGGTTTCTAGGCCTGCCAGGGTCCCAACCAGACCAGACGCTGCAAGGGACCTTTGTCCCTGGAATGCACATCAACATCAAATGGCTCCCTCCACTGATAGCAAGCAAGGTGCTCATCTGTGACGTAAGAGACTGAAGTGCACAGGACCCGCCACTGTGGGAAGGCCTGAATTTAAAGCCATCCTGTTTTTTCCTAGCTGTGTGATCCTGGACAAGTCACTTCCCTCTCTGAGACTTTTTATCTCATTTTTTAAAAATGAATTTGTTTCAAGAGTTAGTTATGCTTAAAGGTACCTGGGATTGGGTAGGTATCTAAAAATAGGTTGATAGAACTGGTGTTGTGCTATTCCTTGCTGAAGAATCATTTAAAATGCCCACTGTGATCCTCTTGTGAGCAATTTCTCTACACATGTCAAATCTTGTATGACTTTTATTAATTTGTCTTTATTTTTCTACTAAAAACTTGTAAGCTTTTTTTTTTTTTTTTGGTCCAAAAAGACTCCTCATATTTAGATCCAAGATGGTTCTCACTAAAATGAACATTACCACTACTAAATAATAGCATTTAAATAAGGAACTACACTCAGACTGGACTGATGAAAAATCACACTTTCCACTTCCCCCATGGTAATCCAACAGCAGAATTTCTGGGAAAATAAATCACCCCATTAGTTTTTAAATAGCATGCCCCCACCATGAAGAAGTCCACAACTTTTGACTCAAGAATTCCAGGCATGGATGCCGCAGTCCGGCTGGGGGGGGGGGGGGGGGGTGACGAGCAACTTGTGTACATTGATACAGCAGGAGTGGGAGCCGTTTATTGTAGGACAGGAGGGGTATATATACATTCCACACAGCTTATCTTAATTAACATAAACTTGATACAGCAGTCAACCAATAAGGAATCTCCACACTTAATGGCTCACTGGTGTTACTTCACAAACCACTCCCTCTGGCAAAATGCCAGGCGCCATCCAGACTTGTTTACAGACTCTAACACATGGAATTTAGGCCTATAAGAATATACCAACATACTTTTTAAAAGCTTTAAACACAAAGATGTTCATCACAGTGTTATGGATTATTAAATAGCATTGGAAGCAAATTCAGTGTCCAACATGACAAGAACATTTTAGCAAACTATGATCATGTATGTGATAGAATTTATGCCACTGTTCACCAAGATACTTTCCACGGAGAAAATATACACAGGGGCATCGTACGACCAGAACCTACTACCACATACACCTAGAAGAAACACATGGGGAAAGACAAGACCAGAAAGAAATGTAGCAGAACATACATCCACAAGAGCTTTCCCTGGATAGAGAAATAAGAGGTTAAGTTTTTTAAGATGTTTTATAATGAAAAAAGCCACACATTATATTATTTATTTTTAATTTTAGTAAAATAACACAAAATTTATCATCTTAACTTTTGGGGGGAGGTGGGGTACTGGGGATTGAACCCAGGTTGTTTTACCACTGAAGTATACCCCAGCTCTTTTTATTTTTTAGGACAGGGTCTTGCTAAATTGCTCAGGCTGGCCTCAAACTTGCAATCCTCCTGCCTCAGCCTCCCAAGTTTCCACCAGTTCATCTTCACCATTTTAGTATATTGCCACTGTTGTGCAACCAAAATTATCCATCCCCAAAAATCTTTCACCTTGCAAAATTAAAACTCTGTGCCCACTAAACAAAAACTCTCTTTTCCTCTCTCCTCTCCACCCTTATCCCTTGGTAACCACCTATTTCCTGTTTTATGATTTGTCTACTCTAAATACATCAGGTAAGGGATATCATATAGTGCTTATCTTTTTGTGACTGACTTTTCTTTACTTGACATAATATCCTCAAGATTCACCCGTGTTGTAAAATGTGTCAGAATTTCCCTTCTTTTGAAGGCAGAGGAATATTCCACAGCATTGATGCACCACACTGTTTATCTATTCGCTCACAGACGCACACTTGGCTGCTTCCACCTTTTGGCTAGTATGAACAATGATGCTATGAACACGGATTTGCAACTATCCCTTTAGTACATAAGTGTTTTCATTTTTTTTTAATATTTGAACACTTTTTTTCCTGAGTGGGCTCCTCTTTTTATGTCCCATCTTCTGGTTCTATGAGACCCTGGCCCAGGTTAACTAGGACTCCACTCTGAACATAATCCAAATGCAGCAGAACCACTGGGCAACTCCACTACCCTGGGGAAATAAGTGCCTGGGCTGTACCTCAGAAAATAATGCATCTTTTTGTTGTTCTGATCCCCATTACAGGACAAATGCCTTAGTCTCCGCTTTCCAGCCTGGACCCCCACACTGAGCCCTTCTTCAGCCCACCACCCTGCCCGCTGCGGGCACTGAACTCACTGACCTCCTGACACCCTGCACCAAGAAGACCGCCAAAAAAAAAAAAAAAAAAATCACCCCGCTTCTCTCTCCATCCTCACTAACAATTTGGTAATGAAGTATTGATTTCCACTTCTCCGCTGATGGACGATATTAGATTTTCATTGATAAACTGCATCGGGCTGTCTCGTCTCCACGGTCCCCTTTTCACGGTCACAAGGAAACAAAGTGCCACTGAAGAAAAATAATGACTGGGAACACTGATGCGCTTATTCTGTCAGTTTGTAACAGGAAAGGGAGGGGTAGTCCTCGCCGTCCAACGTCCGAGGGGGCCGCCCGAGATGCGGACACTTGGAAGGCTGCTTTGGGTGGTGATGTCCGTTTCCTATTTATAACCCCTCTGGGAACGTTTGTCTAAAGGAAATGTTTCTGTTCAGTGTAACAATTACGGTTGCACCTGGATTGCCCAGGCCTGCCCCTGCGCTAGGGAGCCATTAATCACTGCAAAGGAGAAGAATTATTAAGTTAAGGCCAGAGCTGGAGCCAAGAAAGCCTCCGAACGATGTTCGTCTTCTGTGAAAGTTGTGCAAATAGTTAGCCTTAGCCGTGCTGCTGCCAAGGACTTTTTCCCATGCAGCGGTAGGCATCTTTATCATGGTCATTATCTGGACTGCTTTAAAACCTAGTTCTGAGCCCGCAGCCCTGTCACTTGAGACCTGCAGATTGGGAGAAGGGGCGAGATGTAGAATCTGAGAAAAGCAAGAAGATGAGATCATGGCAGGGTGGAAAGTTCAGCAGCGGCCTTTTCTGGTAATCCCTTCTTGCAGGACTGGTTGTTTATGGGCTCTGGAACACAGCTGAGCTTTAGGACCAACAGAAAGCGTGAAATAGGGTGTCCATTTTAAATGTGTTCCTGCAACTTTTTTCATTAAAACTTTAAGGGCCCAATTTTAATTTGTGGAATATTCCCGTTAATAATGAGATCTAATTAAGACATCCATTAAAAGCCCGTTAAAGTTAATTTAACGTAAAAATTCCAATAGAACTGTATTAGATTTTCTCCATTAAATTAACGTTATGGATTTTTAACGGATGTCTTAATTATACGTTATTATTAACGGGAATACTGTATTACACAGATTAAAATCAGGTCCTAAGTCAACTTGGAAAGCTAGGAGCATGTTTTAATATTAAAAGTCTTGCATACCTAGCGTGCAGTTTGGAAGGGGTAGATCTGTTTATTCTATACAATGGAAAGCAACCTATAATAGATGTATCCATCAATGCATTTAAACAATGAATTTTCTTATTCTCAAAGGACAAATAAATATGGATCATGTTGTAAACTGCTACTCAGCTATAGGTGAAATATTAAGCTACTCTAGGCATAACACAAGAAACTAGATGATTCTGAAACAAATGAAATATTATGTGTTGTTGTTTTAATTACCAAGTTTATCAACAACAGCAGCAACTCAACACTGACAAAATGAAGCCAGATATAGCCTCTTCACCATTTCTCATAGAAGCTGCCTATTGGAATTGTTTTGGAAATTTTGCCATGATCCCTAAATTCAACATGGGATTAAAAAAAAGGGGGGGAAAAAACTTCTTATTTACCTCCTAGGGAAAGTGTTGCCCTTATGCCACATATAATAGCAAATTGCTTTTTTTATGGCATGCATAACCTAGATGGGAAAAATATGGCGCTTCAGGGAAGGAGGGAAAAAGTAAATGAAGTTCCAGGAATGTCATTCTGAAGTAATGAGGCATGGACAGAAAATATACCCCTCACATCATCGGATTGAGATGGCAGTCGAAATAGCTTCATTGAAGTGTCAGCACTCATCCATCAATCAATCACCCACAAGGAAAAATAGCAACAGTACAACGGGGCGGCTTTTATGGGATTTACTCATGGGCATAGGGAATAGCGGCTCAAATGTAGTTCTGACATGAAAAGCAAGGTGCTGATATTATTTTTTATGATGGGAGGATCATAAAGTGAATTGAGAACAGCGAGGTCTGTCTTTGCTTAACCTATTCAACCAGAAATGAATGGAACTCAACTGGAAAGGAACAGTCTTCAGATGGGTTAAGATTGAAGGGTGGACTCTGCCGAGCACTGTCCTTCAACAACGAGATTCTATTAAAGGAAAATCAATGCATTAGCATTGGTGTTCCTGAAGCTGTTAAAAATCGCCTGCTTCAACCCAGGGTTGTTAGATAAAGTTACATAATTCAGATCCTACTGCAACCATCCAGAAGCAAATTCGGAGCTCCTGCTCCAGTTAGGGAGAAACAATTGCAATTCTAAACCCTTTGGAAATCGTTTTCTAAGGAAAAAAAATAATAAATCATCTGCTTCCTCATAGAATCTATATGGCAATTTCTCTGGTGGAATGGGGTGGGAGGCAAGAGACAAAAATATTGATAAATTTGGTAAGACTCATGAATCCTCACTTGGCAACCGGGAATGTCACAGCTAAGGGACAGGTGTTAATGTTCTCCTTAGAAAACAAGATCTGGGCTGGCACTGAGATACATTCCGCTCTTAGTATAATTCTAGAGGCCATGTCTGTCTTCATTTGGCAAGCCCTGTGAGGCTTCTAGAAATTTCTTCCTGGAGAGAAGAACTAAATAACATTAATTCAAGAGAATAGTTTTACATGCTTTTGTACCATTTCCTTCCTTTCTCTGAATAATCCTAGTTCAAAAAAGCTGGAGCTTCAGAAGTGGCAGAGAGAATGACATGTGAATATCATTTCTTAAAGCTCTGTCCCAGCACCTCCCCTTGGTATCAGGGACAGTGAGAGATTGCCTTTCCTTCCCTATCCCTCCTTCCAGCTAAGGCCATCAACCAACTGAAAACTGAAATGGCCATTAAAAAATCACAAATGTTTGCATCTTAAGTATTTGGCTCCTTTTGTAGCTCAGCAAATCCAACAAATCTATAGTGTGTTAAAAAGCACCAGCAGCACAAAACACAACAGGGAACACAATTTATTCAGCAAATTCACCCCACAGATCTGATCAGGTACCCATTTTGTGCCCAGCTCTGTTCTAGGTGCTAGGAGTTGCCATGGTAGACACTGCACCCAACGACCCCACCCTCCCGTCGCTGAAAGCAACCCATCCAGGCAGCCGACACCAGATGTCTACCTGGGGGCAGAGTCCACATAGGATCAGAATAAGAGTATTTCAGCATAAGGAGTTTTCCCTCTGAAAAGCATTCAGGGAGGAAATAGCTTTAAAATATGTCAAAGCCTAAAACAGAATATAATCATGGAATAAATTGGAGACCCCAGACAGTCCCCACAAAATTTCCTTCAGGCTGTAAATAGATCTCTTAAAACTCACCCCAAAACATGCCGGCTCAGTTGTTTGACGCTTGCATAACTAACATCTTAGGCAAAAGCCTCTGAACTTAGCTGAAATGCAGAAAACAGACAAGTGCAATGACATGTTTAGGGGTAACTGTGTTGAAGCCGTGAGATGTGTGTGAGGAGTGTGTGTGTGTGCACGTGTGACAGACACACACGCGCATACATGTATATGAAGGCCGCTGTTGTTTTCCATGCTTCATGGAGAGTGCAGCAGTGAGAGTCTGTGATTTTCTAACACTTTCTGCAGTGAATCCAAAGATCACAGGCCCCACGAGGCACCTGCATCCTGTGGCTTTTCTATAACTTCCTGAATTATTTGACTATGTTCAAACCTTCTTTTCTTTTTCATCAGGATTTCATTTTTTTAAGTTTGTCAAGTGTTTTTGCCTTTAAAAAGACATTAAATGTGCCCTTTTCCACATTATTTTCTCATCTCTGCAACAAGAAATGGTAGTGTATAGACAAATGCTAAAATAATAACAATAATAAGGAAATGTATTAAAGGTTTAAACCTACACACGCATACACATATGTAGTTCTACCGAGCAATAAAAGTAGTATCTATTTTGAACGTGCATTAAGCACCAAAAAAAAAAAAAATCAAAGCTGAACTTTCGGTTTATTTTGTTCCCTCTGTGAGATGTTAAAATGCTAATTTCATTTTCTCCCTTCTTCTATGTGGCATTTTTCTCAAAATATCTATGAAATACTTTTAGACAAAGATTGAGCTGGAGAAAGAGATACAAATTTCCATCCCCCCAGACATAGAGATGTGTTTCCATTGTAGGAAAGCATTAAACATTTTGAAACTTGTGAATCATCTTTAGAATTTCAACAGCGGAATTTTACCTCTTCATCCAAAGTAAAAGCCACTTATCTCCTTTGGTTTCCTGTGACAGATTCAGAGGCAGACGCAGATATACAATTTCCAGGCTCTAGTTAATCTTCTTCCAATAGTTACGAACAATGGGCTAACGGGCGTGGGTGTTTCTCCAAAAATTATTCATGCGCAAGGCAGCCCAAAGCTTCAGGGAAAACTAGAAATGTTTTATGGATTAGAATAGGCCTGTTTTAAAATGCTAGTACCAGGTGGAACGCTATTTCTGCAACAGGACTCTGTCCATTTCCTTTGGAAAAATATATTCCAAGTAAAATGGCTATTCCAAGGAGTGACACCCTGGCTTGACAGCGTTTGGCACACAAATGATCTTACCAATAGCCATACAATTATCATTAAGGCCTTTTACCATACAGTCTGTTTAGAAAAGACAGATCAAATGCTAACAGCCCGTTGTATCATGTTTATTTGCTTAAAACAGCTTTTGAAAGTACGAGTAATAACTCTTTCGTGAGAACCCCCCAGGAGAAGTTGGAAATTTTGAAGAAATGCATTGCTTAAAAAAAAAAAAATCTAAGCACTCCCTTCAACCCTTTCAGAAAATAAATTTAAGTGTGCTCGCTGAATTATCTTGAACCTGAACCCTACACTTGGACATCAGTCCCCAGGCAATGGCTAATATTTACAGAAAGAACAATCATGCGATTATGTCGCAAGTGAAGACTGTGCCTGGTTATATTTTCACTTTCTAAATGACTCATATAACATTCAGAAATTATAAATGTGTATGCATTTTTTAAGTACACAAAATCCCACCAGTCTGCAAAGAAAAAGTAAAACCTACGCCTGTTCTGCATTGAGATAAATACTACAGAAACATTCCAGTCCTGCAATACAATATTTTGGCTTCACAACACGTCAGATATTAAAAGCATGCAACACAAGTCAAAAACAATGACCAAAAAAAAAATTGTATTTGGATCAGAGTTTTGAAAGGTCATAACATCCTGGGTTACAATATACTTTTTGGTCTCTGACGCTATCCTTCTAATCCCTTCTAACTTTGATTCCAAACAGCCAAGCACTGTCAGGGAGTCATAAACTTCCAAGCCCCTTTTAAATCAGGAACACAGCCAATCAGAAACAATCTTTATCTGGGCAGCCAGTTCCTGCTCTGCACGGCTTTTGTAACATTTTAGGAAATCTGGCATCAAACCCATTACATTATATATTTGCCCCCTTGCATGAAGTCTAGATTTTGAGTTGTTTCTTTTCAAAAGGGTAGTGGAGAAAATGGGTCAGAGTGAGCTTCAAGAATCACATTCATCCTTGCTCTGAAGGAAAGTGTTTACTTGCCAGAGAAGAAAGGCAAACACATTTTTGTATTAGGAAAGCAGACCAGTCGTTTTCAAAGGAAAATGGCTGCGACCATACTTGTACAATGAACATGTCCGTGCAAGCGCACTAATTTTCTACCACCTGCATGCTGTATATAATACACGCCTGTATACTAGGAAGGAAAATCGGGCTGTTTTCCCTGTGTACCATGCAGCTTGGATGGCTGGGAAAGTAAGCCTGCGTGCATTTTTATACTGTACATATTTGTATATACTAACGATATCGCCATGTATGAACACAGATTTTGTTCTATCTGCTTGTTTCTGTTTCTTACCAAACTGGTCCACAATGGGATTCTTTTGTATCGAAAAAATATGCTTGTGATTTTTTTTTCCTGATCATTCTCTTTCGATAGCTTATGAAAGAATTAGATCTGCGTTTACAAAGAAATGATAAGAACCATGTATGTCCGTCTGCATGAGTCCTGTCCAATTGCTGGATCTAGGGAGGAACCAACGTCCTAATTCAGAGTTTTCCTTTCAAGGCATGCTTTACCCCGTGGGAAAACTGCAAACTCATCCATGTAGAATTTTCCTCTTTGTATTTTATCTAATAGTGCCTGAAAATTTTTTTAATGTCTTCTTAGAGGAAGAATTCATAATTGTCAAAATTTGAAACATTAGCTTAATTTTGTTTTTATGACCTCGAGATTCTTCTCCTTATTTATTCGGTTGCTGTTGTAATGGGGCCCCAGGCCATTCCTGACATCGATGTGTTCTTCTTCTGCATTAAGGATGTTTTTAAAATTACAGAGATTATTGAGCCAATAGGCTGTTTTAATCAAAACCATGTTTCACTTGTTTTTGATGATTATAAATTGTCCTTGCAATGAGAAAGAAAAAAAAAAAAAAAAACTTTTCTGCTAGGAAGATTATACCACCCTGTGGCCAAACAGATTCATCACAGATGGGTGTCTATGCCCACTTCTCCGGGATCTGGAACATTCTTCCCCTGGCTGGCCACAGTTTCTTGCACTCCCCATCATCCTGTCATTAGTTCTCAACGCAGTCACTGTTTGCAAATTTCCAAAGGCCTTTTGCCATCTTGTCACTGCCCAAAGACAACAACCCTGCTGGAAGTGGTGTCTTTCCAACCTCAAAGAACGCAGGGAGTTTTAGAAAAGGGGATCCTTCTTTCATCCCAGAGTGCCTCCAGCTTGTCATCCCTCCTAATTAGATACAATTTGGTCTTAATATCCCATATAACCTCAATCAGATCAAAAGCAACACTGGGACCCCCCCCCCTTGCTGAATAAAAAACGAGTCTGAGAGCACTTAACGGTGTGAGCTTGTGCGAGATACTGCAGCCCCAGAATCGTCTGTAGCAGGAGAGGGATTCTCATACAGTTTTATCACTAGGAATAAATTCTGATGGTGGAGATGGAGAAAACCCTTAAATTATATCACAAAAGCCATTATTTTTTACACCTAAAGAGTTTTTTTTTTTAAGGAAAATCATTCTACTTTGAGAACTGTAATTAAAGCCCTAAATAATAGATGCTACTTCTTTTAGCTATTGTGAAAAAATAACAATACACTCTCCAAGGTTGTATGGACCCCCTCATTTCCATCAGAAAGGTTTCTATATTATATTTTTAAACATGATAACTCTTTCCTTTGTGGTGAAAAAAAAAAGTGTTGTTGTGTTTTTGTTTTGGTTTTGTTTTTGTTTTTGTTTTATTTTCCATTCAGCAGTTATTGGAAATAGACTGTTCCCATCTGAAACCTTATTATAATTTGCACCAGGAAACCCAACTGCCGACACTGAGGAGCTGGGTGTGTTCAATTATGACTTTGCTGGAGGCTGTCCCTCGTTGGATGCTGCAGATGTTGAACACCTTTCTGAAACCCAGCGGATCTGACACCGCTGAGACGCCCCTCCACACCATTAGCTTGGCGAACGGCTTCCTTCCCATCAATAGCGACTTCCGCTTTGGCCCTTCGAAGAAAAGGAAAATTAAAGGAGAGAAGGAAAAAACAAAAAAACAAAACAGATGCACTTAAAACATGAAAAGAATTATTTATATGATAAAAATATATTTAGATTTTCAAAGCACAAGACTGAATAGAAGTGCTCTTTTTAAGCTTTCTGGAGATGTTACTGTTAAATGTCTTTCTACATCAGGCTTAATAAATCTGTAATGACATTTGATGGATTGATTTCTGCCTATGTGTGTTTTTTAAAGATGGCAATAGAAGAGAGAGGTGAGGGAGAAGGAGAAGAGAAGGGGAGGTGAAGCAGCACCCCAGGGAGCCCAGGGGTGGGGGGGTCCCATGGCCTCTGATGAATGGACCACCTCCAGCATCTCCTGGCCTCCACCGGATTTTCCCTTCTTACAGATGCCAGCCCCCTTGCCCGTCTTCCCAGCTGCCTTTGCACACGCTCACATCTGGCCAGCTGGTGCCTGAGTAATTTATGATGTCATCTCAACAGAGGCAGGAGCGGCTGTCTCACAAATTCAAGGCTGCAAGACAGAGGCCAGGCGTGATGGAGATGGCCCGGCCTTCCCCACCTCAGAGCGATGGCCCTGCTTCCTTCTCAGTTTCCCTGTGTGCTCCCCTCCATTTCCTTTAATGGCCTGGGAGAATTGGACCATGCCTCACACACGAGCTGCCCAAGCAGACACTGATGCCCCACCAGAAATGATTTGTGGTCTGCTCACAGCCAGCTCGCAGCTCCCATGTCGCGTGGCTGCATCAGACCCGGGCTTGTTAAATTATGACGGCCGCAGTGTCACCTGTTAGCTCTGCTTGGCTGCCGTGGCTCCATGTCTGACCATAACATATGACAGTCCAGGCTAGAGAAAGCAAGGCAGGTGAGGACAGGGGAGGTGGCAGGGGCAGAGGTGCAGACAGGCAGCTGGGACCGAGTCAGAGCCCCTGGTCTGCAGTTAATGTGTATTTACTGAGCACCTACTGTGTGCACACTAACAAATGAACGTGGAGATGTGTTTCTGAGAACAGGATGGAGAACCACACTCTGTGTGACATAACGCAAGACTCGGAAAGAAAAGAACACATTGGGACACTGAATAGAAGGACCATGGAAGCATGAGGTGGCACCCGCCAACCTGAGAAGTCACAATGTTCCCATAGGGAATGAAGCTAAAGGTAAAGCCTGGGCGATCATGGCTGGAGGTAACATCTCCAAGGAGCAGTGACAAGGGTGCACAGCCAGCCACCCTCCTCCCACGCCAATCCACCAAAACACACTGGATCTGTCCAGTGCTTATCTCTTCTCGGCTTCTGTGTGGCCTCACTGGTCCCCCGCCGGTAACCCTCAAGCCCTCCAACCCCTATCAGTTCTCTACACCGTAGCCAGATGATCTGCCAAAAAAGTAAATCCGATCATGTTGTTTCAGTTGTCCAGCCCCAGAGTTATCATACTTTTTCTGTGAAGGGTCAGCTCATGAGCATATTCATTTTGTGGACCATCCATTCTCTGACCCAGTAACTCACTCCAGTGTTGTAATGCAAAAGCAGTCACGGACAATAACAACGACATGAGTGTGGGTGTGTGACAATAAAACTTTATTCACAAAAACAAGACGTGGGCTAGATTTTGCCTGCAGACCAGTTTGCCAATCCTGAATCAAGATCCTCCAACATCCAGCTTTCCATTCACCTTAAATTGCTCTCCTGTGGAACCAGGTCTGTAAATGAAAATGCAAGGTAAGAACAGGTAGGTCACCAAGGAGTCATCTAGATTATAGTAACAGAAAACTCATCAACAAGAAAGCTAAGAATGTCCTTAAAGGGGCTTTCAAAACAATTACTACCATGAGCATTGGTGCCAATCTCAACCAGGAATCTGGGAGACTGTACAGAACCTGCCTCAGTTATCCTGCCTGAGGGGTGAGAGAGCTGGGGTATTTATACCCCTCCTCTGTTCAGAGATGAGCCGAAGGCTGCTACACGGTGGGATGGGGTGCATTAATTCCCAAATGTCCCATCTGCCAAAGCTTGGGAGAATTAGGCTTCAGAATCCAGAGAACATGCAAGGCACAGAGTGACAGGTGATTGACGGCAGGGTGCTGAACAGCATGCGGAGAAATGGTTGATGCAAGGAACCCAGACCAGGCTCCCACAGCGCCCCACCTCACTGGGAGTGAAATCCAAACTCCTCCCCAGGCTGGGTTAAGGCCTGCCTGGTCTGTCCCCTGCTTACTTTCTGACTTAATGTCCCCTTATGCCCCCATCCTAACCATGCTGCCCTCAGACTGTTCCTAAATAGTACCAGGCTTGTTCCTCTGGTGGGAGCATCAGCCCTCCAGCAGGGCTTCTTCATATCTTTTGTCTGTGAATTTGAGGTCACCTCCTCCGAAAGGCATGCCCTGAATCCTCGTCTAGAGCACCCCATGAACATCCCCCTGAGCCCTGAGCACAGGCTTTGTTGTATCATTCTGGCCATTTATTATCATCAGTCTCCCTCGCAGGCCACTGTGCAAGAAGAGGAACCCGCGTGGGTCTTCCTGCACTTTCCTGTGAGAAGCAAACATCGGCATTCCATGGGCGCAGGCAAATCCCTGATCAGCCAAGGAATACTGCTCCCCGAGGCCTGGGAACTCCCCAGTCACTGTCTCCAAAGTGCTCTGAAGTGCTCTCTGCCTCCCCGGCACCCTTTCCTCCATCTACTCAGATCCACCTCCTCCTTCCCATCCCCACAGCAGTAAAACATCTCTCGAGGAGGTCACAGGCTCAGGACCGTGATCCACTGTATCTGGCAACCTATTACTGAGCTGTCTTGACTTTCTGGGTACAAAGGCCTCCGTGAGCTCCACCTGGGTCACAGGACACGGTCTCAAGGAGGAGCAAGGAGAGGAAGATGTGAGGATGAGCCCTGCGCCCAGCAGCAGGCCCAGCTAAGGGTCGCAGGGTGAGAGTTTACTCTAAAGCCAGCAGATTCAAGGGGTCCCTCAAAGCCAAGATTCCCAAGGAGGAAAGATCAGGCATGACAGACAGACTTTGGGACTCCAGCAAGTCCCAAAGATATCCAATCTGTGTCTTCTGTATTGCAAATTTGCATCTATGATAAACAAACGGGGCACTTAAAAACACTTTAATTGTATTCAGTTTTTCACTAAATGTATGTATTATTGCCTTTTCAAAATTAAAGACTCAAGATTTCAGATAGATAAAGTAGCGAAAAAATTTACAATGAGGTAAAGTTCCTATTAGTATAAACATATATTCTAAAGTTCTCGTCATTTTAAAAGGCTGAGCTGGCACAAGGGTGCTCGGACAACTCGGTGGAATAAGGCCCTGGCTTATCCTAGGGATTGAAATAACACTTGAGCATATCACAAAAGCAAATTTTTAATGGAGAAATGGTGTATTAGTATCCAGTGAAATAGTACTTAGGCAATTGGTAAACTTACTAGAAAATAAAATGAGTTAAGTATCAGCATTATGTGATACATTGTATTTCAGATGAATTAATTAATTGAATCTAGAAACAAAATCAAAAAATACCTAAGGGAAATATAAGTAGATAGCTGATATTAGGCAGTAAGTCACTATCAGCCTTTATTTCTTCCTTGAAAAAAAAAAAAAAAAACAGGAGTCAAAAAAACACAGGAAAACAAAATAAATACATATGTATACTGTAAGCATAACAGAAAGTCACCAATGGCAGGAAATTATTTGTATTAATTTATGACTAATGATGACTGCTATAATTGATGATATAACAAGTAGTGTATGTCTCTTTAAATAAGTGAATAAATATCCAAATAGAACAAAATTTGGCAGAATTCATGAACCGATAGCATACAAATAAACTCAAATGGCTAATAAACATTTAAGAAAATGTCAAGTGACAATAATAACCAGAGATGGAGAGTAAAACAAGAAGAAATCATTTTCGCTTATCAGATTGACAAAGATAAAACAAAATGCCAGCATTATTGGAGAAGGCTTGGGGAAAGGCATCTACATACATTGTGGCTGGGAACAGAAGTGGGTTGGAACTTTCCAGAAAGTGATTAAATAGTATTTATCAATTTCTCTAAAATGTGTGTGCCCTGGGATTAATTACTCTTCTAGAGAGTTTCCCTTAGAAAATAATTGAAGAAGTTCATGAGATTTATTTAATAAGAACTCTCGATCACCATGTAGGTTAGATCATGAAAAAATGGAAAGAAACTAAACGTAAAACTATAAGAGACTAACTAAATAAAATAGGGTACATCCATGTGACAGAATAACACCCAGTCACAGAAACCCACAGAAACTAGACACACAATTTGCTTGACCCCTGGGACCTAAATTTCCTATTTGGTAAATGGGAATATCTATTTCTTTTTCAGTGTTGTGTTAATTAAATAAAATAATCTATGTAAAAATAGTCACCATGTATTTATTTAAAAATCAAAAGAAGAAAAGAAGGTAGAATAGGAACATAGTCACCCCTCCATACCCATGGGCTCTGCATCCACAGAGTCAACCAACCAGATTGAAAATGTTCAAACAATAAAAAGTTGCATCCCTACTCACCCTGTACATTTTTTTTGTTATCTTCCCTAAATGGTACGGTGTAACAACCACTCACCCAGCATTCACACTGCATTAAGTGTTAGAAATCACCTAGAGATGACCTAAAGTACATGGGCGGGGGCTGTGTACACCATGGTAAGCATAAGGGACTTGGGTGTCCTTGGACTTTGGTGTCCCTGAGGGTCCTGAAACCCATTCCCAGCTGACACCAAGGGATGACCGAATAGACAATATGATCACAGATGAAAAGAAAGCTCAGCAATGCTACTGAAGATGAAATGATGAATCATGTTTATTTTATACTCCACTGCATTCTTTTTCCTAACGTCCAAAATATTCTACAATGATCATATATTGCCTGCATAAATTTTATATCATATTTTACTTTTTCTATATGCCATATTCAATTTTGTCCAGATACTATTGTGCACCTTCTGTGTGCCAGGCTCTGGGCTACACACTGAGAATCCAGAGAATAAAGGCTGATCCCGCTCCTGAAAAAGCCTCAGCCACAAGTGCATAGAAAACTATCAGACAACAAAAACACCAGAAAAACATACGGCAGTGGGCAGCAGGCTTCCTCAGGATGCCCCCTTTGCTCTAAATTTTTGTATCATCCATATTTTTTATAGTGAGCAATCTATTTATTCAGGGATGAGGTTTTT